TATAAGCACCTCCAGACCTCGGTCATGTCCAAATCGCACCGATGTTGACGTTTCTGTCAAATTTCGGCAGGTAAATTGGAGGCGGAGTTTGAGGAGGTGGAGTCCATGTTGCTCGGCTACGAGGATCTGATTGACCACTGCGAACTGCTCCGCAATAAGCAGACACAGACCGCCGAGCTGAATAGGTACACGCAGCAGAAACTGTAAGTGTCTTGACAGGTGTCGACCCTAGCACCAGATGTGTTTATAACTAATGGATAGAATCCTGAAGTTTGTTGAAGGGGCGCTTGGAGGTTGAAGACGGTGGTGCACTGTGGGGGTAGGGGCAGATTTATGTCTTGGCGCTCTATGGTTGAAACTCGGGGGCACAAATTATCGATGGGAGTAGGTTAACCTGAGGAGGATGACTGTTGCATGACACTTGGCTGTCTGATGCAGATCTTGAAAATTTGTCAACGTGTTCTAACAATGCAGAATCAAAGGGCCAAGTTGCCACCTCAGGGGATGTCTCAGAAGTCAGAACATTGCTGTTTCCCTATGGAATTGCTCTTTTACAGAACACCACGAGTTCCCCTCAGAAATAGGCCGTGTTCCTAATGGGTACTACCCGTTCCCAAATAAAGTATACAAGGGCAGTGACCAGTGTTCCCCTTGAGAAACTCACATTCCCAGCCGGGGAACAGCTAGTGTTCCTGTTCAAAACGTAACAGCACTTGCCTTTCAGTTGTTAAAAACCATGCTGTGGTTGGTGATCGTTGAACCCATACAGTGGTTTCGTGGCTTATGTCTCAAAGATCAGTTCCACGCTGTGGGGGAATCGTTTGACAAATCCAGCTTCATGAACAATTTTTCTCCCCCTTTGTTCCGTAGAAAAGAAGAAGGACTGATGAGAGGTAAGTGTTTGCTTGTCAGATTAACTAGCATGGAGAACAAAACACTGTAATAAAAAAGACAAATTCAATACAGTATTCAGATTCTTTGCGATATTGTTGAGATTTTCAAAATCAGGGCTAATTTTTAGCCCTGCATGTATGGCAATCTAAAATACCTTTGCGCAACCTTCATTTTGCCGTACCAAGTTACATCCATGAGGCATTGCCACATTAAGCTCATGTAAGAAGAGACACCACTGTCATTATCAACACACCCAGTGGCCACAGACAAAGGACCCTGGTCTCCGCCTCATTTGATTCTTCTGTCCTCCTCACCCTAGTCCGACTGCAGGAGGAGTATGAGCAGAGCGTGCGTCTGAAGGAGGAATCGCAGAAAGCCGACAAGTTGGAGAGACAGAAGGCGTTTCAGGATGTCTTTGCGGCTGACATGCAGCACTATAAGACGCACGGGGAAATGCAGCGTAAGTAGAATGACTTGTCAGAGGTTTGCACCACAGAACATCCCTAGCTCTGAGAGTGTAACCTTTCAAAGTTGCTCTTAGCTGAACAATATTCTGATGTACAGGTAGTTTTCCCGCCAAATGCCTTTAAGCATGATTGCTAATTATGGAAGTTTGTTATTACAAGTTGGTGTGTTTTTTCACAGATAGCGTGATTACCCGTAAAACTGCTTTTCCGATGAAGTGTAAATAATGTTTGTATACATTTCATTTTCGAGGATTCCTTTCTGCGCAAAGTCCCGGGGGGGGTCTTACATGTCTTCTATGATATGCCCATTTCAGGAGTGGTATCATCCGAGGGCACCCACTCGTTGACTGACGTCAGCTCCATCGAGAACTTTGAGATCACCGTCGACGAACAAGAGCAGGAAGCTCTGGATGACTTTCTGGGTGCCCCACCCATCGGCGGCACGGAAACCAGAGACGGGGATGCAGGCGATGATGACGAGGATGAAGATGACGAGGATGAGGTGGAGGTCATGGACGTGATTGAGGAGGAGACCGAAGGGGAGAGAGCAGAAGGAGATGAAGTACAGAGCCCTGATGGAGCAGAGACAGGTGCTCGAATTGTCATTTCCACAATTGGGTCGTTCTATAAATTTGGGGTCTAATTTTTTCTTAGCCCTGTCACATCTGACCATTGATTTTGCAAGTTTAGAATGCAGTCATTACTTTCTAAGAGTGATAAAGTAACACAAAATACCTGCCAAACAAATAAATGGAGCTTATAGTCAATTTTAATATTTCCTTGTCAACCTCCACAGTTCGGGTGTAACAGAGACACCAAAAATGTCACAGTTTTGGACCCCCAATTTATAGAATGACGTGATTGTTTCTTTAAATCCCGCTGGACTTCCTCATTTGTAACTATCTACAGTGTATGCCTTTGTAGATTGTAACTACTTTTCACCAACGGTTATTACATTCCATTTGTTCCACGTCACACCCCACAGCATGGTGGGAACACCCTCATTTCTCTTGTAAAACCCGATTAGTTTGGCACAGTGCATGACAATTCAGTCAGAAACACATGCTCACTCTTGAGGCGTTGTTCACAGAATCAGTCAACACTGTACGATGAATGCCGGAACCCATGACCAGCTCTTGCCATTGAGCCAGTATAGCGCCCCCTATGGTATTTGCACTTGAGCAAATAAGTTAGGCTCCACAGTTTCAGCATTTTGAGAATAGCTTAACAAGTTTGGAGAACCCAGTTTCACATCAGAATATCACTTCTATTCAGCTGCAGATGAATTGTCCAGAGTTGAGGACACAACGTCCCCAGAGCAACCTCAGGAAGGTGACCAACCACCCCCAGCGACGGAAACCGAGATTCCTGATGAGAAGATATCGAACGAGACAGCCAAGAGTGCAGAGGAAGACGAGGACGAAGATGATGAATTTGATACACCAGACGAAGGATCAGAAACCGAAAACAATTAGAGAACAGTCAAATGGATCAACTGAAGGTCAAAGGTCAAAAAATGTTTACTTTTTTTTTTTCTAAGAACCCAAGTGACATACTTTTTGAAAACATTCCCAAGTGGAAACTTGTACAGCATTGAACGTTTGAATGCAGTTTCAGTGTGAACAGCAAAGCTGATGTGGTTCACATCGTCATGTTTAGTGGGAGATATATCAAATGGCATTAAAATATAACCTGGTGTGTCAGGGAGGGGGCAGACAATGTGATTTCAAACATTTATTGACTTTTGTCTGTCAGTTTCTTCAGTGCTATCAAATGGCTTCATTGGATTGAAAAACTTTTTTCCTATTTTATAGTAAAGGATGTTTGAGGATGGTTTACTCATACGACAGGTTCATTGTTTCCTCCTTTTAAAAGTTATAGTGCATTATATTTGGATATCACTCTTACCTGAAAATTGATATTCAAAGGCCATGAGTTCAGATTTCTTTTAATTACAGTACTAAATGCTGAGTTTTTAGTCATGTCGGAAAAAGCTGGTAGGCAAATTTGATGAGGAAATACTACCAATGTCAATTGTGTCAAGGATATCATAGCAAAATCACCAATTGTAAAGTTATTCGCATCACTGCACTGTCTGTTGGAACATCTTTCAGAATTACGAGTCTTGGCAGCTTTTGCTTTCCAAAGCTGGAGCCAGTGACCTCCTGGTTACTAATTTCAACCTTCTGGACATGCTGGACTGGCCTGCCTGGGTCAGCTTCAGGTTGAATACACATTAGCACCGCAGGACGTCTTTCACTTGAGCACTGAAACAGAAAGTGGGTGACTTTGTGATAGTTTAAAGAGAAACTCCACTTCAAAAGAACAAAGAAAAATCCTTTGATGCTGACATCGGAGAGAGTATTACCTATTAGCTGTCACTTAACAATTTTCACATTTTTGAAAGACTGTGTTTTCAGAGAAAGATCTCTTAAGTTTGTCTTCCAGTCTCTCCAAGTCAATCTGTGTTTATGGAGTAAAGAGCATCTTTAACAGTTGAATTTCTTTTCCTGAAATATGCAATTGCACTGTTGGCTTTCAATCATTTGTGTAATTAAGATGTTCTCTGCTTGTGGCTGGCTGAGACTGTTGCTTAAAAGAAGTGAATTCAGTATAAACTGACCCAACTTGTCAACTTCTGTTGCAACTCAATGGGAAAATGTCTCCCAGAAGCGGCACAATCATAAAATGTATATAATTTGACAAAATAAATAAATTTTATACAAGTAAATTTGGGTTCTGCACAGTCTTCATTCTTGTGCAATTTAATTCAAAATTAAAAGCTTACCCTTTTATAAACAGAGATAAATATGACACACATTCGACATTCATTTGGTATTTCACTAAGGTGCAGTGACAAGAAGAAAACCATTACCCTCATGTCCAAAGAAAATTATTGTACATACAAGGATAAAGTTTGGCATTTCAAAAGATTGGACACTTTATAATACAAAGTAAACTGGCAATATAAATAGAAATATGTACAAAGAGTACTGCTCAAAGCAAATGAATGATTACATGCTTGCATGAATACAATCTGACGGAAAAGATGTTCAAGAACAAGGATGTTATTGGGTGCTCTGACTGACGTGAAATTTACAGACATTTGTCATTGTCATGGGTGAAAACTGTTGTGCTGAAATCGGTATTTAGGTAGGAGAGCCTTCAACGTGTTGGTAAGTGGTCTGAATGGATGAGAAGAGTGTGGAACCAGTGTCCAGTATTGGGTCAGCACTGTAAGGACAACCATACATGGCACAGATCATGTCAATGGTATCCCTGCACTTGCGTCCCTTCCGCCTTGTAATAGGCATGGTCCAAATTCCTCGGCTACGGCCATCCATATTTCTTGTCCCAGCCCAGCCAACGGCGGCACACCATTTTTCAAAGTCGAGGGGACAAACGTGAGAGCATCAGTCATCAATAGCCGATTCATGAAGCTCTGCCGCATTATGTTATAGGACCTGCCAAAGGGGAGGAGGGGTCTGGCCTCACGGCGCCCCAGGTTGGCTGCCTCCAAGCTAAGCAATTCAAACACTAACATGGATTAAGACCAATGCATTAAAAATCTCACATCATACTTTCCGTGAATTTTTTTCCCCTCTCTGATATTAAAAGCTCAACATTTGTTTGTCGTATTTTGCTGATCTCCAGCATTTTTTGTCTTTTGAAAGAAAATAAATTCCAAAATTTTGCATTTAATAAAACATTCATTTGTGTATTTATCAAGGTGTGATAGCGCTACTTTTTGTTCAGTTCTCACTTTGACAGCCTCTACTGAACGTTAATAATTACAAAAATACTTTGTAACAGGTTTGGACTGTCCTTGTGTTTCATAAATGTTTCTTCAAAATTGTGAAAAGGCACCACAAATTTCAAATAAACTTGCGTCGCAAACACACTTTCATCCACACAAAATACCACAGTTTTACTTTTTCAAAAATCAGGTGTACATTTCACATTCTATCAGTGCAGATTACCAATATTATTCAGCCACTACATGTCCGGTTGACTGATTCCAAATGCACCTTTTATTAGTAATTTGTACACAAATTACTACAAATGTGATGTCGCTACATCTGATTGCAGTAAGGCAGATCAAGGGAATTAAAAAAAAAGAGAGCGAGTGTTCGGGCTTGTAGTTGCATTTCCACTGTGCAAGAAGAGTAGTTCACAGAAATAATCCACTTCTACTTTGCAAAACAAAATTATCCGACATTAATGGACACATGCAAAAAGGAAAATGAACAGATGCTTATGATGGCCGGCCATTAATTGCAGGGAAATAACACACTCGGTGAAAGCCTGGACACAAATTTGTTTGCCCCAAATAAAGGAAAGATAGGTTGATGTCTTTTGACTGACAGGCTCTCAAAATCACATATGAAATCAATGGTCTCCCTGAAGCAACACCTATTGATAAATTAAAATAATTTGAATCCATTTCTCCTCTAAGAATACAAAACTGTGTCCAGGGGTTTGGGTTCAACACTGGCACCATTTGTGGCTTGGTTTGAGATACGATGAGCACCGTCAGTCCGGGCCTTGTTGAGAGACTCCACTTTGGCTCGACTGCCCTCAAGGGGTCAGTCTCTGGGGCAGCTGTCTTCACCCACTAGCCGAGAAGCCTTCTAGTCGCTCTCGGACGAGATCAGCCCCCGGTTGTCCGACTCGTACTCGAAGGCGCCTCCGTTAAGGGTGCCGTTCCGGGAGTGGGGCTCCCTGAGGGACTTCTGCAGCTTGGCCTTCAACCGGCGATTGTCAGCCGTCGCTGTCTGCCAGACCGTCTCCAGTTGCTCTTCAACTTTCCTGGTGACAGTGAAACAAAGGCAGACAACTTTCACAATGGACATCAGAGCAATGCCAGCTTGGGGAGTCGTTTGTCATTGACACAATAACAAGCAGCTGGCCTGCTATTTGGCAGGTCCCAGAAACACACCACTCAACAAATGTTTCCTTACACCAAGCTCTACTTGCACAAAATGATAGCCAAATTAGATACCGTTTTGACCAAGCACACATGACACCCTATCTTATGCAAATCTTGAAGGATTTTTTCCTTTTTAACGTGGATCAAATGTATTTCAACATTTTAACAACGTTTTAACAAATTGGTCAGAGTCACTGAAAACTATTAACCACACCATGCCGGGTGGAGTTTGCACATGCAGGGCCCGTTGCCAGGTGATTTTTCCGTTTTCAAAATTCTTCAAAAATTTATATCTTCATTTACTGGACGTGTACACCTAAACGATGAACTGGTTTTTTGGTGGCTAGTCTACTCTGACAGGCAACCTCCATTGACGTGTGAGTACCGCAGCCACTCCTGCCGCCCAGTAAAGAGCACCCATGGTGGGGTGTTGCGTAATTTCCTTTGTTCCAGAAATTGGCCCAGTGCGTAGCTGGATGACGGTGTTGTCTTTACTAACACGGCCAGATTCCAGGAGCATGCAGGGTACTGCAACGCTCATCGCTGGAGTGCTGGAGCACTTTGGTCCCCACTGATAATCTGCAGGCACTGGCAGTGGCAAACAATGGTACTGTTTCAAAACAACAATGGATTACCTCCTCTAATGTCAGCATATGAACCTTGATTGGCAAGTCCCAGCAGCCTGGTGTTTTCTTATGAGTTCGGTCACCCTGGCCACGAATGAAGGCCCAGTTCCAAAGTTCCAATTTCAGGCACTCCGGCCATGAATATACAGCAAAGGTCTCCGATACCCGGAATCTCGGTGTTGAGTGGTTAAAAGTAACTCAAACAACAGACCTGCTTGCCAGTGCACATGGCTTAACCACTTCCTGCCGGGGAATCCGGATCCGGACACGTATGCTTTATATGCGTGGCCGGGGTCTCCGAACTCAGACAGAACTCAGTCTTGTAACAAAAGACTTTACTCGGAACAAAAGACCAGGCTGCTGGGCATTACCGACATTTTTTCCATCTCAAGAGTGGAGAGAATCCAGCCTTGTTTTGAAACAGTATACCACAGTTTGGGGCATTTAGAGCTAGCGGACTACCACCAGGGACAAAAGCATTCTACCACCACAGCGATGAGCCACACAGCACCGCTGCAAGCTAATCTGGCCCCTATTGAAAAGAGGTCAGCAGCGCACTGAGCTAGGTTCACGAACAAAAGAAAATTATACAACACTGCACAATCTGGGCTCTTTTTACAAGGCTGCAGGCCTGGCTGAAATACTCAGTCATGTCAGGCGTCAATAGATTCTGTCTGTCCGGCTAGGGTGGACACCAGACAGTCCTTCACATGTTTATAAGTGTCTAATAAATGAAGATACGATTTTTTAAAGAATTTTGAAAACAGAAAAAAAGATACATATCCTGGCCCAGCATCATCAACATTGATAATTGCCCTGGCAGGAAGTGGTTAATGTAGTCTTCAGCTCCCAAAGATAAAGCTTAAAGTCCTACGCTTGACATCTGTTATCCACCACTACCTTGTCAACATTTAGAAAATTACATTCGCAATATTTTGTGACTCTTCCAATGTATCCAATATTTCAGCAACCATTGAAATACCAAAGCTCACGATAAGACAACGCCCTTTAGGGACCGACTACGGAGAAGAAACACTCCTGAATAAATTTCTGATGATTATCCACCTTTTGTCAGAACCTAGGTTGTCCAATTCATCTTGTTTCTGCTGCAGCAAGGTCTTGAGATGGGCCATTTCCCGTTCATACTCCCTGAGCTGGCTGACGTGGGAGCTGTCCTGGGCCTGGATGCGGCTGGACAGATTGCCCAGCTTGAGGTCAGCTTTCTGCCGGTAGGACTGCAAAAAAACACAAAACCCCAAACACAATAACATCTCCTCGAGACACATGGTCCGACACGCTCACACTTTTACATACGAAGTGGGGACATTCCTTTGTTCTCCTGTGGTTAAGGAAACTTGAGCAAAATGCTCCTTTTTCTCCCACTAGGATAACTCCTTTGAGCTGGATTGTTGATGATGATTTCCCCAACTGTTCCTCTTCATTTTGCCACAGATAACCTTGACCCCCAAATGCCTCTGAAACTGTTTTTCAGAGAGGGGAAAACATTGTGTGGATGTGTGCAAGTCCACACAATGCCATCATGCCCTGCATGTGGACTTCTTTGTGCAGAGGTCCACACTATGTATGACACGCCTGTACACACATATTGGCCGCTTCATGCTGAACGACCTGTATACACACGGGGATGTCCTCTGTTGCAACATGGAGGAAATCTAAACATATTCCAGCGAATTTCTGTATGCAATACCAGGCAAAACGTACTCATCCCCACAACTTGGTGATATGCCACTGAGTCTGTACACGACATACTGTGAGACACAATTAGGCTTGAACGACACTCTGTGGAGGAGGCTGTGTGGAAATCTTGAACAACTTTGTGCAGGACTGTAGTGCCATCTTTTCATTTTTGAAAAAAGTTGGAATTTCCAGCTGAACAGAAATGTACAATCTGGGACAACCTCACCGTGGAATAACATTGCTGGCCACTGGTTAGAGCTTACATCCTCACAAAATCACTACAGCGAAAGAGGAATGCTGCAACAAAACTGCACTGGCCATGCTAGCTGCATGCCCAGCTGAGTTCTGAAATCCTGGTAACTGGCAAACTGTCAAGGCTGGAAGGGACTGAAAGAGACAAGCAGTGTCCTTTTTCAAAAAACTGGAGAGACTAGAAAGTTGTGGATTACCTTCAACTTTTCCTCCAGCCTCCCGATGGCGACGTTTCCTTCCATCATTTTGTTCACAGCTTTCTTCTTCTCTTGTTCTTGACTCCTGGCCTGCACAATTCAACAAAACTCATCATTAGCAGTTTCGTATCGCCGACAGTGAATCTTGTATCTGAGATTTCAAGAGTTTGGTCTCATGGAAAGAGGGAACAAACTAATATCAGTTATATGATTTGAAACAAAAATATAGAAGAGATATTTTCAAAAACCCAACCATAAAACTCCACATTGAAACTCCTGGCTCCTTTTTGCATTTTTCCATTAAAAAGATCAGATTTTTTTGTTTCTCGCAGCCATATTTTTGGTCTGTGTGTTTGTCTTCTCTGTCTTACCACTTTCGTCAGGGCGTCTCTCTCTGCCGCTGTCTGTTCGGCAATCTCCAGTACGTTGTTCAAGTGCTGGTTGGCCACGGCCAGCTTGTTCTCGTTGTGTTCCAGCTCCTTCTGGAGCAGCGCGATCTTGTGCTGAAGTTTCCTGAAATTAATTGGGATCAAAAAAGGTTGGCCATAAAAACTGACCACGGTGACAAACGGGCATCGTTCCAGGTCTCCACTCAACCCTCTCTGTCTCATACAAGGGCATCCTGACCTCTGATCGTGTAAACCCATACAGATTTCACTTGCTAGATACATGATTGCACAGAGCTAATTCAACAGACCATACGCAGTGTGATAGATAAAATGCCAACAGTTAAAAGAAAGGGTTCAGAGGAAAACTAAGCATTGCATTAAAATGGCAACTGATAGATATTTGCCAAGCTTGACTCATCAACAACCTATTAGAGTGACATATGCAGGATGTTAGTCAAACCTCAATCACGGTTTCTCACAAAGTGACTTGGAGGGAGTATCCAAATGATGCAACTCCACTGACAGTTAATCCGCACATTATGAAGGGAAATTTACAACTCTGAAAACTGTACTTACTTTTGGACCCTAGTGAGTGCCTTCATTTCTCCTTGCATCTGGCTTCTCTCCGCTTCGCCGTCTGCCAGCCTCAGCGCCAAGGTCTTTTTCTCCCCCTGGACTGAGGACAGCTTGGACAGCACACTCTCCATCTCAGCCTGGTGGTGTCGCTGTTCCTCGTCCAGTCCTCTGAATCACACCATATCAAGGAAAAAAAAAGCAGTCAAGCTCACATCGAGCAAAGAACTTCAAACACTCACAAAAGTGCTCTGCCCACATAACAAACCAACAAATTGAACACGCGGAAAATCTATTTTGCTTTATCCAGAGGGAGCCAGGGGAAGGGGGGGAGCAAATCCGACCCCTGACATTTTTCCCGATATCGTCGCAATGCATTTTTTTTCAAGAGTTCTGCCTTTAGGAGTTTTTAGAGTAACTCTTTGCCGTTTTTCTGAGACAGGTCAGCCTAAAACGTATACTTTTTCAACTGCGGTGCTCAGTGCATGCAGGCTGGCACGCATGTGGCCATGAACTGCAAATGAGTGTTAACAACAAAACCATACATCTGAATCCCCCCACTGGAAAAAAAGGGCCAAAATAACCTGGCTCTTGTAGGGTTAAAGTGAGTGGTGCGATAGTTTGTTCACTTGACATGCCATCTTTCTCCTATTTATAACAAGTACAAATCACAAGAAAAACGAAGTCAGCTTCACTGGTTCCTAAGGCATAAACTGTCTATTCCTTGTCACTAACAGTCCCTCTTCAGTGGGCATATGACATGGCTACAGCACTGAATATGGGTTGCGTGGTGTCGTTTCAATCAATATTCAAAACTGAATTAACAGGTTTTGTTTAACAGTTTTGTTTTTGTTTCCACAAATACCATGCGCTTCATTTAAAAAACGTTAATGCAATACAACAATTAGTGTTTAGGAATACTGAAGTTCAGCCACACTGTGTTACAGGATGAAGTATTTAATATGCTTTTCAAGTGGACCTTTTGTACTCGGCCATCGTGCTCATGTGCTCCTGTATGGGCATCTGGGATTCGGCCTCCACCACCGAGCGGTCGTGCTGCTGCTTGAGGGTGCTGTACCGATGCTTGAGATCCTTCAGCTGGGCCTCCAGGTCTCCCTTCTCCGACTCCTCCATGGCCAGACGCTTGCTGAGTTTGGAGACTAACGAATGCGCGAGGGAAAAAAATTGGCCTGTTTTAGTGGATAACCTGTCAGACGATGCGCTATTGGGTGGAACCTGAAGCTGTACCACTTAAACCACGACGAACATCTTGATCCGTAAAATATTGTTAATGTACCACACTTCCCTGGAATCACCGTGAGCCAATGACTGCTGACTTTTTCCACACACTGGGAGGGATCCATAGTCTGTGAGCTTAGTGGCCCTTAGAAACGTCCTCTGTTTGGCCATCCATGAAAATCTGGTAACTTCACCAACTTGTACCAGTGTGTGTGCCGTTACAGATTTCATGGTGTTGTGAAACGATCCCTCACATAATCATATATAGTGTACCATTAGGAGTACAAATCCCTGACTCATTGCTTGTTGGATTAGCCCAATAAGTGCTGGGGTAAATATCCTTGGAAGAGCCCTTAGGGTTTAATTTCGTGGCAAAGCTGTGCTTGATGAGCATTTAGGGGATAAAATGTTCATGCCCAGTGCCAATAAATAAAGTCCATCGCAAGTCCATCGTAAGCCCATCGCAAGTCCATCACAAGTCCATCGCAAGTCCATCGTAAGCCCATCGCAAGTCCATCACAAGTCCATCGCAAGTCCATCATAAGTGCATTACAAGTCCATCGCAACCTCAACACAAGTCATCCAGTCTTAAGCCATGTCAGAACCTTTTCAAATGATTAATTAATTCCTTCTGTCATTGCTCAACCTCTTAATACTTATGACGGGCCAAGTGAAAGAGCTTGTGACTGGACTTGTGCAGGGACTTACGATGGGCTTAACTACAGAACCGACGAGTCCACTGGAACACACTTTTGCCATGGGAATGAGTGTAGGGTTGTGGGCCTTCCAGTAATGTCTACAAACAGGAGGGGCTTCAGTATGTTCCAGCACCCACCTCTCTTCAAAACAAAAAGATTTGGGGTGATGTGGCACCCACCTACAGCACCTCTTGTCCCTGCGGACTTGATCAGTCAATGTCTGCATTTACCTTCAAGGGAGTGCGCCCTCTGCGTGTCCTTCTGCTTGCGTTGCAGGATGTCCAGCTGGCTCAGGACAACTTGGTTCTCCTCAAGAACGAGACGCGCATGCTCCTGAATACGATGCCTACGAACAGCAATGCAAAACCAGAAACCTGTTGAATATGTCTGTCTTTGTTCTTACATGGTTCATCTGAGACTGAACTGTCAGCGTAGGCACTCAACTGAATTTCAACTGTAAAATGACAGTTGGTGTGGATGATTTCTGTCACGCAAGTTCTGATTTTAGATTTTGGTGTGTGCCTCTGTATGATGAGGTTGGTCAGAAAACCAAACCAAGTTAACCCTAGTGAGGCTGTGTCTCAGAGTTACAGAGATGCCAACTTTTCAAAATGGAAAGTGTAATCCTACCGCACTTCCAGTTCCAGTGTCCCGAACGACCCTAATTTATCTGCGCGACCCTAAAAACTTTCATCGGCAAATTAGAAAAACACTAAATTTTTTTTAAAGTCCTGTTGTTTTTTCTTTCTAAACAAACAAATGTCAACAACTTCTTTTCACATCAAAACACTGTTCATTATAGCGTTAATTGGGCCAAACAGATGATTCAACAACGCTGGTTTCTGCCCCTACTCATGCAGCCTGTATGCACCAACTGCGGGATGCCAGCGACACATTTCTGACGTGCGCATTACGAGGCCGGCTCTGTGTTAGCTTACATAGAGCGTATACATAACTGTATCGTTTTGTACCTTAGAGTCTGGATCGAACAGTCGTAAATGGATTAAACAAATCGTAAAAATTACGCCTAAGTGGTACAAGTTGGAATCTCTGGAGTTATGGCTACAGCCGGAAATAGCACATGCACATATGAAAGACATTGGCTAGCAGCAGCAACCACTTCCCATAGGTTTGTGTGTTACTTCTAGCCACAGCCAGCTCATTTGAACATGGCTGAATAATGTACATGTACTAATTGATCTGCCCTTGAGACACGCACGCTGGAGGTGTCAAAAACAGTGGCACAGACAAAATCTTTACCATTCTCCAGGAGTGACGGACGTTGGCTGTCCGACTTGCTCCAGCTTCAAGTGCAGTCGCTGGTTTTCGTGGATGACCTCCTCTGCGGATTTCCGTAGCCGGTTGAGGTCCTCTTGGGTCAAACGCATCATTTCATCCTATGCAAAGCAAAACAGTAAGTTTGTTCCTTAAGGGGCAGTCAAGTGCATGTTTTTGGGGGAAAAAGAAATCATGTCTCTGTTGCACATGCTTACCCTGTGAAACACCACGATGCTATGTTGTTCTAAAGAATGGTAAAAGAAAATTGGAAAGGTGGTAGAGTATCCACAAACCTTTTCCTTGAGTGCATCCTCATAGGCCAAGATGAGAGGAGACAAGTACTTTGTGTCGGTCAGCCAGCGAGGAGTTCTGCCTCGGGACGGCAAACCAGGAGGGTCACCCTTCTGCCAACGGAGCCGACAAAACAAATCAGTCAAACAAAGACAACATGTTTGAAAACAATCAATCCAAGGAAAACAATCTTCAATGCAACAAGTATCTTTGATTTTCATCAGCTACATTCAGCGGCAGCTTATTCCACGCTCATGCTGACCAGCAAGCAGGTTGTCTGCTTACCTGTGGAGGGGAGTGCTTGGCCTGGTACCTGCTGAGTTGAATGTTGAGTTTGTGGATGACCATCTTCAGCTGCTCATTCTCTGCTACCACCTCCTCTGCTTGCTGCCTCAGCAACACCTGCTGTGAATGGTCTAGAGAGAAAGGCAGTGTTTGGGGGACAGGGGTAAGTTCCATCAAGGACCACTAATCAACTAGTGATTGGTTCATGACGTACCTAGCGCATGGGCAGTGAAGTTGAAGTGGCAAACGACCCTAGTCAACCGTTGTCAGGTCATTAGGCAGAAGGGGAGAAAAGGTGGTCGCAGGAAGGGCACAATAGCCATTGAAAATCAAAGTGAAAATGGTCGTTTACCAGTGACATACTGTTTTTCGGCCATTTTCCTCGTAACTGGTCCTCTCTGTACTGTGCTATTAAAACGATTTATGGCAACCAACGACGTGACAGGTTGCAACCTCGATAAGGCTTGTCATGAAAAGTCAACTAGACTGGTCCAACCATCATCGACTGGCATGCGTTCGATCAGAGTAAGTGGACCTATGGTTAACTATGGTTCCTGATCGAACTTGCCCCAGGTTGTACACGTATCGAGCAACTTATTTTTTTTGGCTGGTTTTAATTTCTATCGAGGCAAGGAGCGCAGATGACAATAGAAATGGAGCTGGGAAAGTTAAGTTGAAGACTGGGGAATGAGTTATTTTGATCCCTGACTAACCCTCGTCCTTTATGGACTCGGACAGACTCCTCAGTTTGCTGTTCTCCGAGTGCAGGCGGTCGTTGACCTCCTTGATAGCCTGGTTCTCCAGTCGCAACTTGTCGCAGTGTTGGTGCATCTCGTCCAGTTGCCTCTGCATGTCATCTGCATCCGAGTGAGAATAATGGCCGTAAAAAGGATTCGGGTTGCATGCTCTGAATTCAAATTTAAACACCTGTTGATGAGAGGATCAGGTGTGCAGCCAAACTGCACGTGATTTCTTGCTTGAAACAGGCTGCTGATGGAAGCTCAACTTCACACAGCCATTGCCTTGGTGTAAAATGTAAAACGCAAGGCGATGCCCGGAAACCCAATGTCATTTGTTTCTCACCAGGTAGTTTTTGCAACATAATCATCTGTAAAAAATGACAAGTCCCTATCATGTCACAGTGAAATACTCAGGTGCAGAATGGGGGGGGTGGGTCAAAATCTCCAGGAGGACCCCCCTCCCTGGAAAAATTCTTGGATCCACCCCTGATACCAGTTCGTCACATTCACTGCAGTGCCTTGTGGCAATGTGTAACCATCCATATGTACGTTTTCAAGGCACTTTTGAAAGCTTGATTTTGTAACATAAAATGATCATTGTGGACGGGGAATAATTTCACACAGATGCAAGGCAACAGTAAATGAGGGCCAAATTTATGAAGCTGCCTGCTCAGCACAGAAACTGCCTAAGCGCAAAAAGTATTTACTTGACAAAAACTGGTTACCTGCCCAACTTTAATCCAATGTTTAATGCCTGTGACTGGTTCTCATCTGACATGGGAACTTGCTGAGCGATGTTCCCCATGAAGCAGATCCTAGGTGTGAGTGCCTCACTCAATGAGAAATCTTAGGGAAGGTGTTGCCGAGACCACAGCATCTTGTTGAGGTGACAAGTTTTTTTGTTGAGAACCTTTAGACAGGATTGAAGGGGACTTTGGTGTGGTCTCACGATGAGCTATGGGCCCCATAACGACTGCTGATCAACAGGTGTGTGCCTCTAACACCTACAGGCCAAGACTATGCATACGTCCACCACAAGAGGACCACCACATGCGCGAAGCCACCAGCAAATCAGAATACACACGGTACCCTTCTCCTCGATGATGAATATGCACCACCTACCGTTGATGGACGCCAGTCTCTGGATTCCAGTCCTCAGTTGTTCTGAGTCCCCCTCGACCTCCCTGGCCCCCCTCCGAGGCTGGTGCGGGGGTGGAGACAGGGTCCTGAGGCTCTCCAGCAGCTGCTCTCGCTCCCGCTGGACCATCTCCAGCTCCCTCTCCAGGCGGGAGTTGGTCCGCCTAAGGTACTCCTCCTCCTGGGCTGCGGCATGGCCAAGGGGCTGGCGCTGGATGTGAGAGTAGGCCTCTGTTCATAAAAGAAAACGGGCATGATCACTTATCGCCCGAGACAGTACCCGACATAAAATCATTCACTTCTTAAACCCAAGCTGAGTTTTAAAATGCCTGAAATTTTATCATGAGAATGCAGTGATTGTTATACTCCTGAAGCCAATTGGCATGGTTGTGAAAAATGTCTGCTGCAACCCATGTGACAGCCTCCTGGCCAATAGGAACGGTTAAAATTGTTAAAGCAGATATGTGTCAATGAATGAGAATGCCTTGATATTATCTACCAGATTCGTCTTGGCTTTGGCGTGAGGTGCTTCGCGGGGCTGGAACTGGGGCTTGCGACTGTTGCATGGCACTGACAGAGCTTGCCTCTATCCTCTCGATAATCTGCCATACAAAACAGACAAAGGAGACCCATTTACTTGCAATAATATCAAACAAGAGTTAAAATGGTTCTGAAAATCCTTGTGCTCTAGCACTCAAAATGAGATATCAAATCTCATGTGGGATGTCAGGGAAAGGTCAGTCTATTGTGAACCTTATGCCTGACCATTGAAGCCTTTACCGACTGAATGCTTATCCTAGCCATTGGTTAAAACCTGCGTTTTAACAATGGCATGAACATTCAAATTTTCATACCAGAGGTGGTAGCAAGTCAGTTTTTACAAGTCTAAGTCAATTCACAAGTTATTAGGTTCAGTCACAAGTCAAGTCACAAGTCATCACCAGGCAGGGTAAGTCAAGTCACATGTCATTAGGTTCAGTCACAAGTCAAGTCACAAGTCATCACCAGGCAGGACAAGTCAAATCACAAGTCATTTGGTCTAAACACAAGTCAAGTCACAAGTCTCTTTGTCCAAGTACAAGTCAAGCTGCACATTATTATGTCCAGCTGTAATAAGCAAAAGGAACCAGACGTCAACTTACGAAGTAACGAGTTATGAGTTTCGGACAGCTGCACACCTTTTCTCCAATTATTTTGACAGCGCCTCCGTAATTCCCCTTTTCACTTGTGTTGTAATTACTATTCTTGCAGTTTATCACATGTCGTTTATTGGACTGGTTCATTTAATTTAATAAACATACTTTGCAGGGTGGAAATAAGAGTTGAGATGAGATATAAAAAAAAGACTTCATTTGCCTGATTACTAATAGTACATGTAGTATACTTACATTTTATTGTTCAATTTATTCTAAAACACTACCAACAGGTTAGGCTAGTTCGTTTACCTAACATGACTGCGTGACTACTAACATGCAATTGACAAAAGCCTACTTCTATTCATGAAAGGTAAGATTCCTTTCATAGTTTTTTCAACCATTACATTATGCAATAGACTTGGTCATTGAAAACTGTAGTTTGTTGCGACAATCTTTTTGAAAATTCCTGAAACCTGATTCAATCATTGAGCCTGAGGTCTATTTTCTGCAGCTGGGTGAAGTAGAAGCCGCGCAAGCCAAAAGCCGTTTTTTATGCACGTAAGGCATAAACTGAATAGCTAATAATTAAAAATATATGGACCAGTTGAGTCGTGTCTGAATTGGGTTGGTAACAAGTCTGCAACTCTGATTCACACACATACAAACTGTAAACACCGCCTGCTCAAATTTGAACAGCACTGTGCAGAGGATTTTTGCTGAAAAGACATTTTAGTTGATGATGTGTGAACTCTGACCCCCTTTTGTATCGCTGCAGTGATTTTGACCCTAACAATACACTGCACATGTGGTTCCATCCACCAACAAACAGGTATGGTATGCGCACTCGTGTTGATCAGCTTTACCGGCTCATGAATGAGTGCAGCATCTGTAGTGTCTTCTGGGCCCAGCGGGTGACTCGTCTCACTTCTGACGTCTTCCTCTGTCAACCTGTCGGGGCTAACGCCACTGCCTGGAAGTACAAATTTTATGTGGGTGAACTATCCAACAGAGTATTGCGGAACGGCAATCAAGCAGGACCTAAACAATGCTCCCTTTGCTTAAGTCGGTGGCAAGTTTGGTCAGTAGAGTTCAACAGTGTGAATTCACGACACAGTGTGCCACACAGACTTTGCCATGAATAGGCCATTTCTCAACTTAAGGTCAACTTTCTGCATTTACGACCCTTCAGTTAATCTGCCATCCTCTGATACTGAGAAGCAGCCAGAATCTACCATAGATCACTCAGTATTCTGACTTCAGATAGGAAGCCAACCGGGAAAAATGAAAAATTTAATTGGAACTGTACCAGAAATTTGACAGACACAAGATCCAGAAGTCAAAATGAACCGCCAAGCAATGTGAAACTTAATTTTTGTACTCCATTTTCAAGGGTTAAAGGCTTTAATATTGATAATTTCACACTTTGAAAAGAGATATTAAAAACAATACAGTTCCACCATTTTCCAGTGTTCTTTCTGTGAACTGAATCATTTTATAGCAAAAACATGTTTTTTCTTTAACTAGAAGATTTAGGCTATGCACTGAAAATAGAGAATAAAGTAATACCTTTCGTCTTGTCCTTTTTCTTGCCCTTCCGTTTCCAGGGTGGGGGTGGTGTGATGAGATCTGAGAAGTCGTCCTCTTGGGGGCTGGTGACCATGGTGAGGCTGCTGCTCTCTGAAAGGTCAGTTTCCCGGCATTGTACCGGCTGTGTAGTTATGACATTGTATTAAATGCATTGAAAGGTTTGAAATACGAGTTTCAATATTAAAATAAAAACCAACTTTTAAATGATGAAATATCTGCATTTAATATGTGGGCATTATGTAACCACTGCACAGTGGTTTAAAACCTTACCTGACCCAGACATCAGTGAATACTATGAAATTGGTTTCACTCACATCAATTAAAACAATTTAGCACGTCTTTATAACTTATTTAAAGTCCTCACAGATTTTCAATTTGGCTACAGAAAGACATTTCTGCAATGGATGCATTGGCAAAAGGGCATTATTGTTGATCTCCATGAATGACGGCGCCCTCTACTGACAGTTATTTCTGGAAAGGGCACTCACGCACCCTGAGGATACCGCAGTGTTTAAAAAATTCTGAGATCATTTTAAAGAGATGATCACCTCACTTTGATGAATTGCGTGACTTTTCCGCCCAATTATATTTGTACCCAATCAATCAGTCAACAAATTTATGAATAAACTAGACATTTTTTCCCAAGCCATTTATGGCTGATTTTAAAAAGGCATCAACATACGTTGATGTGTATTTTACTTGTTTAGTACTTTCCATAGTAAAAAAAAACACAAATTTCTGCACTTTATTCAATATTTTTCGAGAGCAAAATTACATCAGCTGAAAGAGTGTCTAACAAGCTACAAAATAATGCAAAGGTTTCTCTCTGAAGATATAATTTTGTTTATGAAAAGCAGGGTTTTTTGTTGACATTTTTTCAACAATTATAAGTCTATCTTTCTTCAAGAAAAGCTTAAGGTGCGTACTTCAGTTGAATATACGGTAAAAGTATTAAAAAACAAACTAATTTTTGGTGAACGTTATCTCATTAGATACTACTTAATTGATTAAAAGCATAATATTGAGGGGAAAAAATTATGAAATGTCTGGGTCTTAAACCACAGTGCACTGCTGCCAACCTGGTGTCTTTTTTACCTTGCAAGGAGAAAACATAACATTTGCTGTGACTTCATTCTTCAACAACAACTGGCCTCATCAATGAGGAATGGAAGTTAAAGCATGCCTCACCAACGTAGGAAACAGTTTTGGAAATGAAAGCCATGGATCATTTTGAGTGAGGAAGAGGTATTACGAACCCTTTATGTCAAGTTGTTAAACTTCCCCACATCACAGTGACCTTCTTATGGTTAAATTTCCACTCTGAAGTAAAATCGGCATCAGACTGCGCAGTATCTGCATAGCCATTTGTATTACATCTCAATGAAATGTTAACTACCCGTCTCACCTGTTTATTGTGCTTCTTAGCCTTGGCGTACAGGGCCTCAACATGGTCAGCCCCAGTCGATGTCATCCCATCTTTACGTTGCCTGCCTTTTGACCTCTTTGCCTTCCCTTCTGATGGGGATGGGTCACGCCTACCAGCAACCACCCGAGGCTCCGCCTCCTCCTCCTCTTGTTCCTTCTCCAGGGTGTGATAAAGCCTCTGCTGCGGGGAGGGCCTGCGTAGCCCTGGGGAACTCCCTCTGGGCGGGGTATCCTGTTGGGGGTGGAAATCTTGCTTTCCATCATCCTCGTCCTCGTCCTCACTGCCGAGCACAGAATCCGACTGGCTATCAACAGGAGTGGCTAATTTGGCACGGTTGCTGATGGTGCCCCTCTTTTGACGATCAGCTTTGGCAAGAGGTATGGTCGTGTACCTGTTGACATATGGCATGAATTTGTTACTGAGATTTAAGATGAGATTTCTTCAGGATATGTGTTTGAAATTCACAAAGTTTACTTTACCAGCATCTACAAATTTCGATTTCCAAGTTCTACGGAAATGCTTCTCAAAAGTTTAATTAAAAAAAAGCTTAATACATTGATAACATACATCCCCACACATTTTGAATATAAGCCATGCCAAGGTTACTGTCTACAAGGCGTAATGCATTGTGGGTGCATATTTAAGTTTCTTTTAAAACTTTCATCCAAATCAGTCGGTCATCTTGATAATAAATCCGTCATTTACTTTGTACACAATGATCCATGTTTGCTATAACATATCAAGGCATCAATGAGAGATGCATGCCTCGCTCAAGGTGTCACATCCCTCCACACAAACAAAGTGGTCGTTTGTGTCTGCCTTATTTTATTGTTTATTGGTTAACAATATTGATGTCACCATCAACAAAAAAGGCCAGGTAGTGCCCCTTTGAAGAGCATTCCCTCGTGGTACATACACAATTTTGAATGAGAGACCCAAAAGAATTAAGTTATGCCAAACAGGGATGGATAATCCTCACCCTGCTTCATCGTAGTCCTCCTGGTCTTCCTCTCCACTGTCCTCGTAGTCGTACATGCTGCTCCTCGCCATGCTGTTCTCCATGCTGGCGTTCATCCCGTCCTGGTGATGGTGTGCCATGGGCCACGTGGATGCACCCTCCCCGGTGCTCCGTAGGGTCCCGCTGTCTGGAGGGGTGCCTATCACCCGGCCCACCAGAGATGCATTCAGGAGGGCAGTGGACAGGGCAGATGGAGGCCGTTCTTCTGGAGGCTCGGATGGGGGTTCTGGGGATCGAGGCACGGCTGCGAACATTGCCCTCGGAAACAGAGCCGACCCTATATGGGACTGTTAGAAATGACACCAATATCAAAGGTGACTTTCCTTCTTGCCTGGGTTATATGCCAGATTAATGCTACGTATATATGTCGCACCTTACACGGCACGTACACGTACACATTTGCACATAGACAAATGAAGTGACCTTGGTAGTCCTATCACTGGTCATTTGCAATGACCCCTGAACTACTGTTTTTAAATGCGCATATAGTATCAGCTTCGGTATACTGGTGTTCCTTTTATTACTTCACTTCAAGCAATGACGACAGTATCTGATGGTTAGTATGAATAATTACCTCGGTAGGATCAAAGTAAATCACAGTTCTCTAGTTTATAGCCACTGCTCCGTGACTGTTACAAGTCATCTGTACAAAACTCAACTCAGTTTTTTCTGCCATTTCAGAAGGCAATGGAGAACGTCTAGTGAAATGTCGCTGGATTTAGCCATACATTCATTTTAAATTTTAAGACCGGCCTCTAGCTCAGGTTGGACGTTGTCTACATTGCAATGCGACTAACGTCCAAGGTATAAAAGTTCTCCTACAATGAGAGTTTTTTGTCAATGTTTTTTCTCACATTTTCACCTGGCAAAGACAGCTCAAATGTCGTTCACAAGTGCCATGTATCCCGAATTCCACAGATGCTGTGTTGAAATTACTAAATATGCCCGCAAACAGAGTATTTTGCAGAAAATATTGCAAAACTCCAAGCTTTCCGTCCTTTCCTCCTTTTGTTTATTTTAAATGTCTTCCTTTTATTGGTAAATTTGTGATGTACATGTACACGTGTATTTATTTCAACTTTTGTCATATACATGTACATGTACTGTATGCAAGTTTGGATGGGGTAAGAGTTCCATACACAGACATCACTAATTTTCCCAAATTAACTTAGCAGTGAAAGTGTTGAAGCAGTTACTTCGAAAACACTTTGAATTTTTCAGACCAGTCTCATAGAGTTTGTGCAGAAGGTGTCTTGTGGTGTCCCGAAATGGAACTCTTTCCCTAGGTCTAAGAAAAATGAAAAATGTATTACTGTAAGAACTGAGTCTGAGGAAACTGTTCATAATTATGTTCATTTTCAAAAGCCTGCTGATCTGGCACAAAATTTTTCATTGTCCTGAAGAAATTTTTAACTATGAAATTTAAAATTAAATGAGTTTACACATCATGTACACGTCACAGACTTACATGTATATTAAAAAGCTGGACTTGCAATGCCTTTGTATGAAATAGAAGCCAACCAGTGGCCATTTTACCGAGCTGAATGCAAATGCGTGGGTTGGCTCGCTTCTATTGATAGCAGGGAGAACAAAGGCGGGCATTGCCAGGCAAGCTTTGAATTCGGCTCAGTAAAATGGCCGCTAGTGGATTCAATGATCTCTACAAGCTGATTATGGACATTGCGAGTCCAGATTTTTTTACATACGTCCGTGGTACACGTACACCAAAACTTTCTGCCTGTCTTTTGGGGGTTAATTACCATCAGCACCCTGTTCTTATAAAGGAAACAAAGTCCACTTTTTCAAACTAATATTTTGACCTTAAGGAACATTCAATTCATTCAATTTCATTATTCAATCCTGATAGGCCTAGTTTAGGTAAATTTTGACAATATTTATGCAAGAAAACTTCTAATTTCTAACCCGGGTTTGGCAAAAGACAACAACTTAGTCGAATGATGCCATTTTGTTTTCGTCTGGTTACACGACTCAGGCTTTTTGGATGCATCAAAACAAATCTCCATTCAGGTCAAGGAACCAGACTACATTCGCTTATCTGTCGTTCACAGCTCTCTTCGGGGTGGTCATGTACACTGCCATGACTGCCGTTTTACCCCAAAATTTCTCTCAAAACCAAAAGCCCTGATCTCTTTTCTTTCTGATATGAAAGAGGACATCACCAACAACTTGTTTAGATAATTTATTTCGAAAAAGTAGAATTTGTTGTTATATTAGGATAGGAACAGGGTGCTAAAGGTCATGAACCCCGTCTTTCAAATACAAATAGGTCTAGAACTACCTTTGGTGCACTTGTCACTATTGTCAGCCAGGACAAAACCGAGGAGCTCCATGGACAAAACAAGCAAAGACAGTACAGTACTCAGTAGGCCCTGGCCCATGCACTCACTTTAATTTTTAAAAATCAAATTTTCAGTTCGCTACCGCGCCCGCATTGATGAGCCTAAATATTTTAGGCTGGCAACGCTTCGTCAATAATGATCCACCTGGTCACTATCAGACTGCATTGGCCAAACAAATATCTGCAGATGTAGGCCTCAGGTAAAAAAAATACAACCCGAAAATCTGTCTAGCATGACCAAAGGGGAGCGACCGAATTGGCATGGCAACGTTTACACACACGGGGCAACAGTTTGTCGAGTCGTCAGGTCGTCATGCCCAGCACAGAAGCCGAAACTCGTCATTATCTCCCCATCAATTCCCCCTTACAATAGACCCAAAGTACAGACAGGATACTTCCTTGCTATACGAAATGGCTATTTCCTTACCATTGGCTTCTTACTTTTCCCCTTTCGACGAGACTTCATCACTGTTTTCTTCTTGTTCTTCCCTGCCATTTTGGAAAGAGAACGAGATACGCTACATGTAAATGTAACTACGCATGCGCAGTGCTCGCATTACTTAGGGTGCAGCGTCCAAATTTAATAAGTATGCAGTCTCCGCCAGGCGGAAGCGCATAAAAAGTACCCCTTGCAGATTCTTTCAAAAAGAGGGGTCTATTTGGGTCAAGAAATTATGAGGATGTGTCAGTATGGCCCAGGATCATCTCTTTAGTTTCAGGGTCACCCATCTGGGGGCAAAGCAGACAAAAATGTGATTGAAAATTTGTCAGGCATGTCAAGAGCCCGCGGTGCGGGATGTCATTTTAAAATGGCGGCTGATAAGACTTGGAACATTCTCTTTTTGGGGGGTGAGTTTGTTTTGGGTGGATAATTTAAAAATTCATTGGTTAACCTACTAAAAATTGAAAATCAAGTGAACTATGAAGGACCAAACAACAATTTTTTTTGAGAGAGAGAGGCTTCATGGACTTCAGTTGCCTGCCATGGGGATCATATGGCTCCAAACGTTGTTGATTTTACACTACATGTATTTTCAATGGAACTCGAATTGGTTCATAGTGCACCCTTTAGGTATGTCAGGCTTTCTCTCTGGACAGCCAGCTGGCCCCACCACAGACGTAATATTATACACACATGGACTGACAATGAGGTCACTAGTGCACGTTATGTCCCACGTAAATAGAACTCTCCTTGGTCACTCAGGCCCGAGGGGGCATGAGTGTTCAGAAGTGACCTAATTTGACCAGTCCATATGTTTTAGCGACACCTCATACCAGAAAAGTATTCTTTCAGGCTTTTAGTAGTTTCAATTCAACTTTCAATAGCACTTCAAAAATTGCCAAAAATTTGAAGGTTCATTTTATTTTTCAGAAAAAAAGATCTTCCGGGCCTACCTCCAGAGGGCGCAATAACCAATCAAAAACTTTCAAGTGACCAGGCAGCGTAATTTTTTTCCCCAAGGACTCAGTAATGGGAGACTTTTGGCGATATCAAAAGTCTGCCATAGTAAAATTATCAAGACCTCCGCGCATGCGTGTGAGAGATTCGGACGTCGTACGAACTGTACATAACGTACGTACGTAGTGGCGGGTTTTTGTTCACACTGCCAGATGTTTGTGAACAAAACGCTAATCAGTGGAAGAATGCTTCGATCTTTTGGATTTTTGTCGAAAATATTCAATAACAGTCACTCCGCAGTGCACGTAAAAACCTGATAATTTCATTGCACGACAATCGATTACTGCTCAAAGGTTACAGCAGTGATCATTAGGATCAAACGCTTGCAACTGATGGTCGTGTCCCATTGTGGAGTCGAGTACAAAATTCAGTGAAGGTCGAGTATTAGCCTTCGCCTGCTTTTTGTCGCTTTATAAACGGCATGTATTCTAAGCGGGTTTCTCCGGAACAATATTGTTTGTACTGAAAACTACATGCACCGAAAAAGGGGGAAAGCGAAGATCTTTATAGAATTTTATAATTTTTTTTAGAATAGGGATTTTCTTTCACAAGGCACGAGGAGGATGCTGTTTTTTATGCCGCAGTGTGCAGAATGTTTGGCAAGACTAACTCGATCCGATCCTCTGTCAGGCATGTACGGAAGGACTGTCATTTACATTTTACTAGTAGGTTTATGACATTCCTGAAGCCCCTCCCCTCAAAACTTTGAAATTATGGAGAATATTACTACAATGACAGGGGCCAGAGAGTAATTATTCCAATTGTGGTCCTACACTCTGTTACAAAGAAGTAAAATAAATCCAGTAGGCAATTCAAAATTAATACAAAGCAAGACAACAATATTTTCCAATTTAAAAATAGTTTACAAAGCATGAGTTCAGTATTGCATTGAACCATAATTCCCTGCTACCCGGAACAAAAAAGATAAACTACTCAACTTATTCATCGGGCAGTCGCACATCCAGTCAGCCAGGCAGTCGCACATCCAGTCAGTATCTGCAGAAAAACAAAAAAAGACTGAAGTGCAAGGATCGGCACATCTTACTGTATTAGTAATGACGGCAAGTTTCCGATTTCCCATTGGGACCCTAAAAGCTGCAACACATTCTAAGAATGAATATATCTGTAACACGTTCAAGGAAAGGTGAAATGTTTTTCTTAACACCTCAACCGCACTGAGTATCCATACATACATCCACGAGCCTCGAACATCACGACCAACAGCATGCAGGTTAAAAATCACGGCTTCTGAGTATGTTGAGCGCTGTTTTGTTTCAAATCCAATGGCACTTTCAGCTACTTGGGCTATTCGGGCCAACGTTTATCAGCACCCCGTTACAGAGTTATAGGAATAAGGAGCCGTTTTAGAGGAAACCTCAGTATCAGGAAAAAACCTGGCGAAAACCTGACAGAGCGAGTATGGACTGGAAACCAAATGCACGGAAAGCCTGGTTAGCTAGCTTCCATTAAGAGACACGCAGTTTTAACACAATGCACGGCAGGCCTGTGGGCAACCACCCTTTTCAACGTGTTAATGCGGATACTTCAAATTTCGCGCATTGTGTGCCGATCGACGACCACGTGATACTCAACAAAAAGACTACCTCAGTGAATGGGAGTTACACACAATGTGAGAATGGAGATGTTGCGTAACACTCGGTGGGCCACATTTCT